GACGGTTGGCAGCTGATATTGCCAACGTCTTTGATCAGAAGCTTCTCGCCCCGAAATGACGAAGACTTCGACGCCACCCGGATATACGAGGCCTACTGGGTGTCGGACTGCGGCGATGAAGAGGATTATTACGATGCTCACGTGCTCCTTCTGGGCGGTAAGTTTTTTTGTTGTTTTTTTTTCCTAGGGAATGGAGGCATCTTTTGGGGTGCGAGCTTGGTCAGATATGCTTGATCCGCACAACTAAGAGACCCGTTTCGTCACTCGGCTAAGCTACGCCTGTCGGGCCGCGACTGCCAAAAAGAGAAAAAAAAAAAAAAGGCTTACCAGAGTTAGAATTTTTATTGTTTTTTTTTTGTCCACTCGTATGACAAGTAAAGTTCTCGCGCTCGGTTCTGCCGCGCTCACGCACAGATCATAGCTTTCCTGGTATTTTGCGACATGTCAACTAAACTGATATTTACAAAATTCGGTTCATATTTATTTTATCTTTTTGGAAAAAAGCGTGTTTAAAAAATCAGATTTATGTTTAATATATGTATATATATTCCGCAGAGTCTGTGGATGACCTCCTGAAGAAAATGCAGACAAAACGGTACCCCATTCCAAGGATTGTCGGTGGAACAGCAAAGCTCGTAGGACCAGTAGGAAAGGCAAGTTTTGCCTTGCTGTGCCACTTTTCCTTGAACCAATTGTAAAGATTCATTATCCGATAGAGATAATCCAACACATCCACTCGAAAAACAGTTCAAGCCTTAAAAAAAAGCAATCGCATTTTTAGAGTGCTGTTTTACGGCGCTCCAACCAAGTGTTCAAGTGCTGCCCGACAAGTACTGCTATGGAGCGTTCAAGTGCCTTCGTTTAGCGATTAACATCATATTTTAGTGTAGTTCAGCCGAAATTAGCACGCTTACATGATCTCTTCCTTTCCTGATAAACTAACCATAGTTATTTCGGATTTTATTTTCGTGCATTGAAAATGATATCAGAAACCCCCAAAAATGACATATTTAGCTCGCTGTGGCGGTGCAGTGGTTAGCAGGCTGAGCAAGCAATGTGTTTTACTTTATGGAAGTCCAGGTTCAATATTGCATATCACAAGTAGATTTTTATTTTCAAAAGGATTTTTTTATTTTTGTCTCCAACTTCTGCGGCCCTGCATCGCAATACAAAGAATAATATACCTCACTACCGCAACATTGCTTGATCTGCACCTAATGGTAAGATAAAGCAGTGGTAAGCCTCTGATAGGTCATATATTGCAATAGAAGTGTGGTTTGTGTTGGAAAGCGTTCTGACCTTGCCCCTAAATTTCCGCTCATCAGAGCTCTCCGACTGCTAGTGCTTGGAATGTTGACAAAATTTGAATCAGCGAAGTTCAGTCTACAGAGGCAGTGGCCTCTGCAATTCGCAGAATGTGACGGCGCACTGCCCCTGTAAAGACTTTGGGTGCCACTTGAACTATCCTGTGGAGAGCCGTTAGACGGCACTCTAGGCACTGCAAAGAAAGGGGTCAAACTTAACAATTTTATTTATGAATAATTACTATTACACTTTTTTTTAATATTTGCTCATAGTAGCTTGTTGTAGTCAGCATTTTTTTTAACAGTAAAAAACAAATGGCACCTTTTTAATGAAATCAGCTCGGTTTATTATTTTTTGAAGTGGATTATCCTGCGGTCTGCCGGCATAATAACTAGGGGGAAAAAAATACCGGCAGCTGCCCCCTATTGGGTCTCGTATAAAACAAATTATGAAGACTATTTGAAGCTGTAGAGTAGCTCACTGATAAGGTGTCTGTCTCGTACGCAGCAGGACCCTGAGTCAATTGTCAATGAGGGATTATATGATGCTTTTTTTTAGGCATTTGACGATATCTGCAGCATTTCTTTTTTACAATTAACACTGAAAAATCTAATGTTGTCGACGAAACTTCGCTGAGTTAAATGGAATGGGACTGCCTTTCCTGGGGTGAATGGAGGACAGCGATACTTGTACTGCCGGTGGACAGGTGGGCCAATAGTGTTAATATTTTTCTAATGAGCAGCTGCAGACTGTGATACATGCGCCGTTCGAGTGATAAACACGCCGTCCGCTCCCCAGTGATACACGCGCCGTCCGAAACTGGCGGCATTTTTTTTTCCCCGGGCTGTTTTTCATTTACCCCCGGGAAGGGTGCAGTGCTATACCATTTAATTCAGCGAAGTTTCATTTGCAACATTACATTTTTCCTGTGTTAATAAAAAGAAAAGAAAAAAAATGCGGTAAATATTGCAAAAGCCCCCCCCCCCACCAAAAAAAAAAAGTTTGAGAAAAAGAAAAAATAAGCCCACACTGCAATTGAACCAGGGTCCCAATATGTGTGAGATAGACACCTTACCAGTAAGCTACTCCACAGCTTCAAATAGCCGTTTTCTCAATTAGTTTTATATGAGACCCAATAGGGGACAACTGCCGGCATTCTTTTCCCAGGTTATTGTGTCCCCTGCCGGCAGAATATCCACTTCCTTTTTTTTTAGCGATTACAAACCTTACTTCCTTACTGAGCGAGCCTTGATATTTTGTCTGGGGCTGTTAGCGGTTGAGTTGTATAAATTTTAGATTCCTTCTCTTTGCATTCAGAAAGTCCAAGACCTCGGTCACAAGGAGAAGAGAAAACAAAAGGAAATCGGAAAGAAAACAAGGCTGCATGACATTGCCGCTGATTTCAGGAAAAAGCAGAAGGTATGAAATTGCGCCAATATAAGTTGGAAGTGTCTAGAGTTCCTTCCAGATGGAACAATAGTCGCCACTGAAGTTCTGTCTGCACTGAAGGAATGATAGCAAACAGTGTAGAGTTCCGTCGAAGCGGAACTATAAACTGAGCAACGGGGGTACTGCTGCCGCAAAGCGGCGTGTAAGGTGGGTCAGGGGAGTTACATTTTTGTAATGAGCCGCCACATACTGTTGCTGCGAAGCAGCGTAAAGAGGTGGACCGGTTAGGTTGACACGCACGTTTCATCGACACTGAATAAAAAGCCCTACGAAGATCACTTCGGAGACTGGACATTGGCAGTTTAGACGGAACTCTAGCGGTGACTATCGTTTTGTCTGGACGGAATTCTAGCCACAGCCATACAGGTTTCATTATTTAGGCAGTTGATTAAAGTCAGCAAACACACACGTTTTTGCCCAGATCAAGCAGACGGAGACACCCAGCCGCTACCAGAGTGACATGGTACCCATCACTGTCCTCAGGGAAAAAGAGGAAGTTATAAAAGAACTAAAAAAAGAACTGGCCAAAGAAAGGAGCCACAGTCGGCAGCTGGCTCAGGCCCTGGCCACAAAAATTGGTGTGTATGTTTCCCCCTCTCATAGTTAACGAAAACTTTGAAAGGAATATAGTTTTTACTGCTTGCCTTCTGGTTCAATTCAAACTTCATTTTTCAGTAGTTGCCGCAGGAGAGAGTAGAGACACAGCCACTACCTCCGATGAGGGGCTTCCCTTTTATGAGTCACCATTCCTTGAGTGGGGTGAGTTGCTTGGTAATGTTGATAGGCCACTCCATTTTTTCTTACATCCATCTGTGCATCTCCTTCTATTTAGAGAATGCACCCTATCCAATGAAGGATGTTCACTGCGGCCCAGTTTCAGTGCCTCCAACTTCTGGCACAGGCAAGTTTTAACTGCTTTTCTTTATTTTGTTTTTGTTTACCTTGTTCATTGCTAGCCATGGATGGCTCTGAGGAGTGAGAGAAAGAAATGCTCTGCAAAATGTCAGTCTACTGTAGGATAAGTGAAACACATAGATTGCATTCACGGCAGTTTGCAGCCGTGACAAGCTTTTAGCAAGATCAGAAGACTGATGTTGCTACTCAAATTACACCATATAAGCATCTCTGGGAAACGGAGGCTCCCAGAAAGGCTCCTGCAATCGGCACAATTCTCCCCAAATAAAAAAATGGCAGTTGCGTTCGCCAAGCAGGGTGCCTTTCCAGCAGGTCTCTACTTGAGCATAACCCTCCAGTATGCTCAAAGAAAATATACCATGGTTATTCACATAATTATCATCTTTATTTTGCCCGAAAATGAAGCTGCTTCCTGGGGTGCGTGACAGCTATGTGTGGCAACTTTGAAAGATAAACACAGAAATTAGGTATGGTTTGTGAAAGTTCCTGTTACTACCCTTTATGGTAAGGAAAATGAAGCTAAGATTTTTCTTACTGTGCTGGGTTCCTAAGTAGCGTCAAATCATTAACAAAGAAGATGTGGACTGAAAATGCAACCGAAACTGCATAAATTTGAAGAACCCCTTGCCTGATGTCATGGCTGTTTGCCGAGATCTTGGGTGTATCCAGAATATTATTTCTTTCCCTTTCTGACTCTGCTGATCACGTATCTGTAACATGACAGCCTGCTTCAGCTACCCTAATCACTTGGGCCGGCTCTGTGAAGCACGTGATTAAAAAGTATGCAGAATGTCTAAATACGGAACACGCCCAGTCACTTTCACGGCTTGGTTGTTCCGCGAGGCATGCCATTGAAGCACATGCTCTCATAGTTGTGCATCTCGGCAACGAGCGAACCTTTGCTCTGTGCATGCTTTCCCCTTCACCCGTGCGTCCTCTGCCTTGCATTGTCTGCTTGTTGTCGGCGACTCTGGGCTTTTGCGTGCCGTGTTCTTGGTAATTTTGAGTCAACGTCTTCTTGCCCAAGCCGACTGGGCACTTTGTCTCGTACTGCTTTCTCTCTAACTTCTTGTTGCTTCCTTTGCATATTCCGGATGCAATAAATACACAGGGAAACAAAAATCAATTCTTTTATATACTCAATTTGAGAGTGCATTCAATACTTCGGTGCATTATAAAAAGGAAGTATTTTACAATATTTGCCTGGCCAGATTATTCCTTTTCAATCTTCTAAATTGAAAAGTGGGTCTCACGTCTCTCAAATACTACCCTACAAGGCAGCGATTGATCATTGTGCTCGCCTGTAACACATCTTTCTTTTATGTCTCCAGGATGCCCATCTACACAGCGTGCGTTGCCTGCTAAAGTACTAGTGGATCAAGCTCTGGTACCGCCAGTTGACCAAGTACTGGGTGAGTGCCACAAATACAGAAAATAAACTGACTTGCAGGGTAGGAGAGGGGCAGTGAAGGATTCTACAGTAAGCATCATTGGATATTGATGAATGGCAGGGAGGTTAAGCCTTTTTATTTGGTGCTGGCATTCTAAAATATGGTGCCTTGTCCCACATACTGTCATTGCAAGTTCCTTGTTTTGTCCATTGCCAGCAAACCAAGTGCCAACATGTCCTGCTGAGAGAGTGCAGACTGTGCCGACTCCTCCCGCAGCTCTCTTGCCAGTGGCTGACGTCCCGCCAGTCGGTCAACAACAAGGTGAGTGCACAAATGAAGAAAGGATGACCTGACTTCTAGGGGGGGGGGAGGAGGAGGGTAAAGGGTATATCAAAATGCATTTGTGAATACTATAGGAAGACAGTTAACCATTGCACCAAACTACTCCAAGGGGCTAACCTTGCTCCATCCCGCTACATTTTGCCAAAATATGGGTAATCTATACTATGCTTGTACCAAGAAACCAATTTCGGTTGCCTCTCAATACCGAAACTAAACCGAGTACTGTAATTGAGCATGCATGTGTTATATGGCGCAAGCAGATGCCCGACACAAAGCCCCCTGCATCAATTGTCCATCCGGTCTTGCATGGTTTTCCTGCCGTCTCGCGCTCTCGTGGTCTTGTTGGTCTCGTCTCGCCTCTTTTTTTTATAAATATTTTCACGATAGACGCAGGTGTATGCGGACGCTCTGACACTAGCGTGCGTGCTGGGTAGCAGCCATGCCACATGCTGTAAAACAAAACATTTTATTTTTTTGCGGCGGGAGTTATTTTGTGAGCTGGAGCACTCGTTTATCAAAGCAAGGGTCGTGGGAAAACTATATTTTTCTAACTGCCTTTCAGTCACCGCGGCCGTGCGACGTCGGGTGTTGCCGTCCCCACCTCGCTGCAGATATGACAGCTTCTAAAATGAAATTAAGTGCCGACACATGTTCATCAACATTCCTGTCCTTGTTTAAATATCCGTTACTACTGCTGTGTCAAAGTATTGATTACCTAGGTTTCTGTCGGTGGGCTTTCTTTCGTATAAAATGTACCGCAAAAGAAAGTGGGTGAAGAGAAGTGAGCTAAAGCAAAGAAGGCAAAGTGTGCACGCTGAACCCTCATAGCGCGCTTGTTTGTCGCGAGTTCAGTCGTTGCACAAAACGCTCCGTCTTGACCCTGGCTTGCGAAGTATTGCATCTATGCGCTCAGGTTCTTTTTTTGTGTGTGTGTGTGTGCTTAGCTTGTATTTTGTTTGCCGGCCTGGCAAGCACGTGGCACCTCATTTGCCGGCTTGGCAAGCACGGGCTGCTGGACTGTTCTTTGTCGTATGCTCGACAATTAGATTTTGCATGCAATTTTTGGAATCAGTTGGCGACGGAGTGGAGTGGCATGGTTTCGGTTTCGGATCTTGAGCTCCAGGTGTTGGCAGCTGCGCGGTTCCGTAAACTTTTTGTGGGTCACGGCACTCTTGAAGATCAGATTCCACCCTCTCCTCCACCAAATCACACCTGCTCTGTCCAGTTTGAAGTGTTCAGCAGTGTCATGATTTCCACTATCCTCCGCATAAGAAATAACCGTTTGCTTCAACTTCATCGTGTATAAAATTCTCTTCACACTGATGGTGGAGGATTTCCGCAAACCACAAATGCGCAGTGAACAGAGTATGATTGCGAGACGAACGCCGACAAACACTGCCATCCATTAAGTGATGTTGAAACCAAGCGCTAGCGACCGTTCGCGACTCCGGCGCTCGAGCTTAATGGATAACAAGATGATACCGGCATCGCCGCTCTCAAATTTCTTGCATGGGATGGGGGTGCTTACATTCGCATACAAACTTTTTTTCAGGCGTCTCGTTTGGAAAAGGTGGGGGGGGGGGGTGGGGGGGGGGGTGCTTAGAATCGCGAAAATATGGTATTTGGTAAATATGGTAAACCTTCAGTTGAGAGTGCTTCATCTATGTCAAATTCGTCCTTATTTATTTTGTGCTTTCCTACTAACAGTATAGTTCAACCCATTTTTTGTCAAAAAAGGAATGGGCATTTCCTTGGTATATTACGATACATATAAAAGTAAGCGCTTGTTAATTATATATCTTATTACTTGAATGGGTGCTCTAATGCAATTGGGGACAATACATAGTGTACTCGGTTATCAAGTGTATCCCACGGTAATGCTGTTCCGTCTTACTTAAGATAACATCTGTGTTACAGGACTTCAGCTGCCAGTGCCTGTTTTGGACAGGGAAGATCCCACACCACCGGCTTTTTCTGAGGAAGATGGCATGGTAGGCAACCACATTGTTCTATTGTTAGCATTTTGTGTTGCATCATTGTAAACTTTTTTATGCCTTTAGAAGCTTCTTGCTGTTACAAAGTACTAAGTTAATGCTATAAAATATTCTCATTCACAGTCACGTTTGAAAGTAAACTGAATGCTCATCAATTGGAGTCGCTGCAAGTGGGTTCACTAGTCACACTGGTCGAGAGTGTTAAGAGCCGTTCACACATTTGCAACCGAGTACGACCGAGAGAGACCAGACCGGTCTTTAATCCTCTTGCGACATCTTAGGACCAGCTCCGCTGTAGCGTATCCTGTTCTAAGACGTCTTACTGGGTCTTACTCGGTCGCGAGAGTGTGAACGGGCCTTTAGGAGTCTCGGGAGGACTAGTGGCATCCGAGAAGAGTGTGTTTACTACGAAATCTGGATTTCGGCTATTCGAACCTGCTGTTGTGTGTACAGTGAAGTCTAGCGGTCTGGTTTGGTGCATATGTGACGTCGGTACGCTCGACTGAATGAGCCTGTTGTGGACCGACAACTCTCCGAAGACAAGCTTCATGGGGATTCACTCCTGCCATTGGCGTACCACTGTCAACATTGAGAAGGAATTTTTTTTTTTTTTTAATTTTAGTTTGCCAATATTTTTTTAAATATTGTGATTTTCGGGAAAATTTTGGTTTATCTTGGTTCCTATGTTTTGTGAGGTCAGTTTTAGTGAAACTTCAATCTTGATCAAGATTTATTGCAAGGCTCCATTAATGCATTCACAATATATATGGAGGAAACAATGAGAAGCTGCAGTGGATAGGTTAAGCATGCCGAAAAAGCTTAAATATAAAAAAATATGCTGTACGCGGCAAAGTGCTCAGGTGGCTAAGTTGTCATTATCCAGAATCCCAGAATGACCGAACCGAGCGTGAGCAGATGATGTGCGGGCAAGGAGGGAAGCACGCACAAAACCTTTGAAAGTCGTTAGACTTTCATGACTAAGCGAATGATTTTTCATTGCAGGTACACCTCGGTGGCAAGATAAAGCTTTCGAAGCTAAAGATTGATGATTTAGTAGACAGACTCCCTCCCAAACGATATGTGAAAGATTTGTGCAGGTGTATTTATACTCACGAAGAGATGTGCGCGAGAAGTGTGACCGGTGCCCCCTGCCGGAGTCAATTGAAGGATGGGGCAAAGGGGAAGCTGCCGGTAACCCCAATGAAACTGCTGGCCCTTGCAAGTAAGTGAGAAAGCTTGTCCTTGAACAGCTCATGCAAAGGCGACTGAAGATGCTCCGCAAGATTTGAAATTTGTTTAAAATATTTTTTTGAAATAATTAAGTACAAGCATGACACTGCTAATGCAAGCAACAGATTACCATATTTTAATTTTTTTTCCTAGGAATTGGGGCTTTGCCCATCATTCTGCTAACGCAAAAAAAGAAAAAAGGATTGCCATAATTTTTTTTAATGAATTTGTGATTTGTGATTGTCATACTGGCATGGTAAAAGGAGCTAATTTGGAGAACTAACCTAAGTGGTAAAGTTTTCTGCCCATCATTCTGCTTTTAACGTAATGGAAAAAGCTGCTGATTCGGTGTTCTCGCTAACAGGGTCATGCAATGTAGTGCATGCACGGTAGTAGATGATTTACAGAAATGGAAGGATTATTTCCATGTCTTGATTATTACGGTATCTCTACTTCCTGGAGATTTCTTATAATTTTAATTTTATACCATTTTTGGTATCCTTTTGAGTTACTTTGCAATTTAAGCGAGTTCAATGAAATACAGTAGAATTGGTTGACGAGATTTTTTAGGGAAAAGTGACAGCCAATTAAGCGTTGGGAGGCTTATAAATGAGAGGAAGCAATTATGACTGCAGCTGGTTTCAGATAGAATTTCACAGCCTTGGTGAAGTTTATGGTTATTGCAATATTTGCCGAGTGTTTGTTTTTCAGAAATGTTATTTAAAGTTAGCAATTAATTTTCAGTTGCAACTTACACATGGCAGCTTTTAATAGTGAGCAAAACTTTAGAGACCATTGAGCTGACCCAGATGTTGACCCCCGTCAAGTACTGCTCCTGGCACATGAGTGCAGAGTAGTGAAGCTCCACATGCATGCTAGTATGAGGGGAACTGTACACTGTGCTTCTGCTTGGTTAAAAAGTTGGGATCACAAGAAAAGTTAAACCAGTAATAGGATGGGAAAGCAAGCAAAACTGAGCGCAGCAGTAAAAAGCTTGCATCGAGCGTCATGGCATAGTCAGTGCAAAGAGGTGAGAAAAGGGGCAGCAGAGCAGAATAAGGGGCAGCAATGATCCAACACATCAAATCGACCGCATAATATTGTACATTTTACTTTAGGGAAAGCAAACAGATTAAATAGAAATTGATACACCTATCACTACGGGAGTTTGGGATCAGTGTTAATTAACATAAAACTGAAACAATGTGTCAATCACTTCCACTATTGCACTTGTGCGATAGGGGAGGGAAGCAGGTAGTGTTTTGACATTGGCCTTTTCACCGACCTCTCTGAAATTTTATTATGTTATGACCTCACCCACAGCTCACTGTCCTTGCCCTTTTGTTTGTATAAGTTATATTTCTGTCGCTCTTGGATCATACTTCCTGAAAAGTAAAACACAAAGTTCTTAATAATTTTGGTAGTTTGAAACACTTGTATGCAGAAAAACTGTACGGTGAACGTGACATACGCACTGTCTTCAGAAACGTTTGATGAGCCAACAAGAGGAAATCTTGGAGCTTACTTTATTTGACTAAAGCACCTCAAAAAGCAGGTGAAAGGGATGGACAGGACCAAGCGCTAACTTATAACAACACAAACATGTTCAATTGTAAGGTAGCACTCCGTGCTGTCCATCCTTCTCTTGTGTCCACGCTTTTTAGGCGCTTTTCCATTCAAATCATGCACTAATTAACTAGCCCACCTAGCCATTTTATTGCTTGTTTTATTGCCCATCTAACACACATCTATTTAAAATTTCCCCAGATGGTCTCATGTACTACGAGGGAGCCAAACCCACCGAAGCTCGGCACACGGGCCCCGAACTTCAGAAGATTGTGCGGGAGGTTTTAAAGGAGTTCCTGCCCGACAACGCAAGACAAGGCACAAGAAGGAGGGAACCACCGGCACCCAAAGAATAAATGTGCATGCTTGGGTGAAACAGCACACAAGATTTACACCCAAGCCTCCATCCTCTCAATAAATGTTCCTCGAGGCATTTAGGCATAACTTGTTTACCTGTGTATTTATTTCAGCTGGTTGAATGGCTAAACTGGTTTGTTCAGCCAATTCCCTCAGCATGACAAATCATTGAACCATCTGGTCATGCTAGGTGATCTACCCAGTGTGACCAGATCACCCACCATGACCAGATCAACCAGCATGACCAGCATGCCAAGCTGGGACCAGCTTGCCAAGCTGGTCCCAGCATGACCAGATTAACCACCATGCCAAGCTGGGCATGCTGGGGCAATAACCCAGCTTGAAGCTGGGACCAGCTTAACCAGCTTAAGCTGGTTTTTTCAATAGGGTTCCCCCTCCTCCTCAAGAGCTGCACTCCAATTTTGCGTTAGAGATTCGTAAACATCTTATTTTTTTCAGTTGAATGTAAGACTGTACATGTCAGGACTCAGTACATTTAAGACTGGTGAACTCCATTCCACCATTGCCCTGGTGTTTCCATTTTAATTTCCTTTTTTTTTTGTCTCACAAGTGTGCCAGAGCTAAGACTCAAGGGGTTGTTCCTGGACACTCAAACACTAATTGATTGATTGATTGTCATTGATTGCTTGTCAGCGATTGATTGATTTATTGACATACTGACTGTGCGTGGATGCTATCTCCGCAACGGTCTTTCTGCTCGGCACGGTGTCCAGCTAGCGGTGAGGTGGCTCATTCACCGAAAGTGGAACCAGCGGGGGGAGCAGGCGGCACTGCCCAGTCGAGGCCGGGGCCGTTCGCATCCGATTGCCTCCGACCTCGGCCGCGCAATGAGTATGCAAGAGCGCAGGAGCCAGTGGACTATTTTGTTGCACCGGCGCCCACAACCATTGACTGTTCCTGTCAGGGGTAAAGCTAGCTGACCAACTACAGTTGTTTTTTTTTTTGTTTTTTTGTTGGCTTTGTTTTTATTTGTGTTTCTCACAGGGGCACAACCAGCTGGCCCACCTCATTGTCTTTGGCTATTGGTTTTTTTATACATTCATGTTTGTATCGTGATGCAGCGTGACAAACTTCGGAATGTTCTGTGTGCTCCAAGGCCCTTTTGAGGAACGGCAGGATGATAAGGTGCGCCTTCTGCTTAGCCTCCTGCCACATCGGGAAGATGTGCTCGAGGATCACAGAAGGCTGAGGATGGGTGAGGCAAAGAGCCATTAATATCATTCTGCAGGGAAAACGACACCAGGAACACCGAATGTGACGCATGGCCGTCACAGCTCTCTTCCATTTTGAAAGAGCTCCTGATGATGAGGGCTAGCATATAGACTCGCTCCAGCAGCTTCCTTGAAAGTGGACATCCTTTTGGCATTAAGGCGCGTCGTCAAGCAGATGAAAGACAATCAGTGGAGTCCAGGCCTCAATTGAATTGTTTTCTGCCCAGTACAACACACTTTTGGCAGCGGTCACGGCTAATGACCAGGTCATTAACGAGGTCAGGGCTGAGGTGATGGAGCTGAGAGGCCATATGCATGAGCAGGCCAAAGAGATCTAGGCTCTCAAAGAAGAGCTTAACACCAACGAGCAGTATGGCCGCCTCCCTAATCTGGAGATTCAATGCCTGCCTCAGTGACCTCAAGAACACTTTGGGGAAATCATTGCAGACATTGCGCGAAGAGCGGGCGTCTCAAATTTCCGGCCGTTCAGGTGCTTGCCATACACCGCCTCCCGAGTGGAAAAAGCGGACCCCACCAGTTTTGGTGAGGTTCCAACCGGTTGGCGGCAAGAAAAAGTGGATGACGGCTTGCGGTAGGTTGCACGCACTAAGCAAGGGGTCATCGCTGCAGCGTCTGTATTTCAATGGCAACCTCACTAGGCTCTTCCGAGAGCTCTTCTGGATGGCCCATTCCCACGCCAGAGAAATGCACTTGAAGTTTGTGTAGGTAAGGGACGTCAATGTCTTTGCAAAGATGGACAAGAAAGGCCGTCCCATCTGAATTTACTGACACGCTGACCTGGAAGAAATAGTGTAACTTGATGACTTCGTCTCAGGTTTTTTTTTTTAGGCTGACTATCGGATTTTTTGAGCCTTATGAATAACTTGGCACTGGACGGCGGCATCATATATACTGTGAGCCGCCTCGGTGGCTCCGAGGCGAGAGCGCCGGCCTACGGATCCCCAGGCGGCGGGTTCGAATCCCGACCGAGGTGCCCGCAATATGACGGAGGCTTATTGCGGAGAAGGCGCCGTGTAACCGAGCTTTCGGTTGCACGTCAAAAGATCCCCAGGTGGTCGAAATTAATCCTCAGTCCTCCGCTGGGGCGTGCCAGATGCCCGTCGTAGGTTTGGCACGTAAAACCCCCAAATTTGATATATACTGTGGTACACGTAAATATTCGGATCATTAGAAAATATTGGGACCAGTTCTGTTTTTTTGATAAGAGGTGTCATCGCCAACGTTATTGTGTTTGTACTATCGGAGACCAACGCTCATGAGTGAGCAACTAAATGTTATCATCTGGATGGTTTTAGTAAGTTTTGTTTCACACGACAAAGCAGAAGAGGGGAAGGTACAGCCGTATTCATAAAAAATGGGCGGCATGCAGAATGTCAGGATCACACACACACCCGAGACAATATACCCAAGGAGCAAGAGGCAATATCTATGAATCGAGACGAGAGCCACAGGCACATAAAAACATCGAGGAAGTTTTCCCTTTCCTCCGGCATCAGTCAGCGAAATGGTTCACCGTCTCCGATTTCCAGTGACGACTTTCCAATCACGTTTCAAGAGAGTCAGAACGATCCTGCAACGCCGGAGGCAGGCCCTCCAAACTCGCCTGCCACGCCGCTTAGTTGCACACGGGACCAAGACACGGGGGGCATTCCACCTCTTCTCAGAAGATCAACACAGATGCGCCAGCCACCTACGCGGCTGGGCATTTGAAAACTTGTTTTTTTTTTAAAGGGATATTTTGCCGTTAGAGGCACTCGACTTCCACCAGATGGTGGAAGTCGAGTGCCTCTAACTTCCACCATCTGGAAATCGATTCGAAAGTTGCAGATCTATGTGGAGGGACAGTGGTTAAATGTAAAAGAAATGTGGGCTTCCTGCTTTAAGAGTGAGCTAACTGTTAGAACTAATACAGAAGCCCAAAACAAGATGCTCAAAGAGCACTACTTAAAATGCCACAGTGGACGAAAGAGCCTGATAAGTCTGCTGCAGATGATGAAGACATTTCTGAGTGACAGGGAGAAACATTTCTCAAAAGACAACTTGCACTTCTCCTCAGGCCACAGAGTTTATCACTAGTCTGTACCAACATTCCTGCACAACAGGCCACGTGCCGTGGTCAAGCACATAATGGCAAGTCTACATGCTGCCGGGGACATTGATGCGGACCACATAATCACAGATGAGCCTAGTGGCATATTTCATGTTCAAAGTGCTGCATCGGCAAATGCTTCTTACCTTGCACAGTTCACCACAACAAGCTGCAGTTGCCCTGATTTTCAGAAGACGAGACTGCCCTGCAAACACTATGGTGCCATAATTTTGAATATCCAAGGTTGGTGCTTCGACAGGCTGCCTGCCTCTTATAGGAATGGCCCATTAATGAGCCTTGACAGCTTAACTGTCTCGGATCTTGCAGTAGCCACCCCATCGGAAAGGTGTGGACATCTTGCGGCTAATGTGAGTAAAGATTGCAGAGCCACAGACACCACACTCCCAGACTTGAAACATCGGGAAAAGTTGGGAATAAGAGTGCTGAAAGCAAAAGTCCCAGCTGAATTTGAAAGGGGAAAAAGCTTTTCCTACTACTGCACCAGCCAAGATAACCTGAGTGCTAGAACTGCTTAGAGAGTGCAGCTCCATGCTTCAGGAAGGGACACCATCTGTTGGCGGTCTGGGTCTGTGCGGCTCACCCACAAAGGGGCACTCCGGTCAGTGCAAAAGACAATCGGGCAACTGCAGCCTATCCAATGTTTCTGGGCTGAAACGACACTGCCCTCTTCATCAAGAGCATTGGCGTGCACGGGGACGTGTTTTGGAAAAGGCAGCCATACTACGGAAAACATACAATGTTGCACCAACATGAATAAAAATTCAAGATGGGGGAAAGGATTCCAAGATCTAAATTTTTTAAATAGAATTCGATTTTAACATGTTCCAAATTGTAATATAGTACATTCTGTGGGACGTGGTTGTCCGTGAATGTTCCCTTAGAACCACCTTCAACCCTCGCTTTGTTTGTGTCCGTTTGGTTTGAATGAATGATTGACATGTTTCCAATTTTTATGACACTATTATGTACTCCTTGTATTGTACACTTTCTAGTACTCTCATCACACTGCAGAAGTGTACAGTATCCTGTACGATTTTTTGGTCCAAACACAACATTCATGCTTTGTTTCACTTTACTCATACGGATTAGCACTAGAAAACAGATTTTACCATTTAAGTGGAGGCCCAACTGGCCCACACTAGCTCATTCCATTACGTAGTATCTTGGGTGAGAACTATTCAGGTGTGAAAAAAAACACAAAAATTTGGCAACTGCAGATTTGTGTAAGCTGTGTCAAATTCTCTACCTATGAAGACACCACCTGAAGTGCACCAGACGTGTTGATTATTCAGTTTCCTCACCTACCTATTTTTTTCCATAAATCATCAGAACTTTCTGTGGTGCCTCAGTGAAAGATATGGGGTACAAAAAATTGTCATAGCGATGCAATGACAATTTTTTTTTAATTTCGAGGTTTATTTTATACTAGGAAGTTTAACCAAATGAGAAACATAATGAACAACCATGCACTTGCATACAAGTACCAAACACAGTACTGTACAAACTTGATACACCTCCATATTTTGTGTAAATAAAAAATTGTTTCACGTGGAACACTGTTCACTGCAAAAAAACCTGTCAATAAGTGCAGTTCAAGCGTGCCTAACGACACCTTCCCTAGTTAAACTGGACTTTCCCTTTAGCGCAGCTCGTCCTCTCTTAAAACAACATAGTCATGCCCTACAATGACCGATAGCCCATAAGTGCAATAACGACAGATATCT